GCGACTTGGAGCGGTACTAAAATTTTAGTACCGCAGGCTCTGGCAGTACTATCGTGGATCACATCTATCTCATGGCAACTTTCACGTATACTTTCTATGTGTTTCTTGTGCTTTGCTGTGGTCTTTGCATTGACCCTTTCTGCGTTTCGTGGGTGTTTTGCGTTTGTGTCTCATGTGGTGGCTCTCGCCATTCCAATCCCAGTCGTGACACGGGCTCCAAGCGTCTGCGCAATCCAGGTGAAGCACCAGAGGGTTCCACTGCCCCCAAGCGCCATGTCAAGACATCAGCTAGCAAGCACAAGGAACCCGCTAAGGGCATGGACGAGATACCCCAATCTGAGTTTGTCCGTCTCAGGCAGCTCAACCCGTATGTGAACCCTCGTGCTACTGTCAAAGGTTGTGAGCTGTTTTGGAACAAGCAACAGACTCTCACTTATCTGGATGTCATCAAGAACAAGCAGAATACCTATGTGGATGTCAAATGGATAGAAATGCATCACCTGAGGAAGGACAAGCATCGTGAGTACTTTGGAGAAGCTCTGGACCTGGTGGAGTAGTTTGGTATTGAACATGTGATCTCTTTTCACCTTGACTATGACCCTGAGCTCATCTGTCAGTTCTTTGCCTCAGTATACTTTCACCATGATGAGGAGCGGAGGATGACCTGGATGACCAATGGTCGTAAGATGACTGCTACTTGGAAGGAGTTCATGGACCTGCTCCACGTTCCTGATGACAGGCTCAACACTCCCGTGGGTGTTCGCCCCCATGCTAATCCTGAGTCTGCTAACAAGGACAAGCTTCAGCCATACTATGTTGAGAAGGCGCTTCCCAATGGCAAGACGGGGTTGGTGCTCAACTCTTTTCTGGATATCATGTATCGCATCTTCCGCAACTCCTTGTTCCCTCGCATTGGTGACAAGGACAAGGTTCATGCCTATATGGTGGATATGATGCTCATTTGCGAGGAGGCTCGTTTGTCTCGGACTCAGCCACTTGATGTCTCACACATCATGTGGTGTGAGCTTCGATTTGCGGTATTCAACCGCAAGGTGCCTATCTATGGGCCCTATCTGTTTTTGCTAATCTCGAAGACTTGGGAGAAGATGTTCCCTGGTGAGGAGTTCCTTGCTCCAGACTGGATTCGCCATGATCCCATCTGTCTCCGTGTCAAGCCCAACTGGGCCAACACTACTACTCGTGCTGAGGCGTCTGCTGCTAGGGCTGCTATTGATGAGGAGGATGCTGGCGCCAAGGATATTGCTGAGGGTCGTGCTGTTAGGCCTTCCCAGAGTTCCTCTATGCCTTCGTGGGCCAAGTAGCTGAAGGACAAGATGAAGACTCTTTTCTGCATGCAAGCCAAGGGGCAGTACAGGACTCACGTGGCATCCAAGGAGAATCGCCGCTGGGACAAGAAGATCTTGCAGCTGTATGGCGAGGACGTGTCTGGTGGTTCTGAGGATCGCATCACTCCAGAGACCGAGTGGATGGAGAAGCAAGGCTACAGGTGGACTGATTCTGAGGAGGACGTCGAGGAGACCATCCCTGCCGCCGAGGAGTCTAACGAGGAGCGTTGGGATGAGTTCCCTGCTTGAGCCACCCCTTGTGTGTAGGTGTCCTCTTTGCCTTTTTGGCATCTCGATGCCAAAGGGGGAGAGAGAGTAGGGATTTGCGAGTCGGGTGTCGTCGTTCGTGTTCGTTCGTGTTCGGTGTGTTTGCTGCTTTCTCGTTTGAACCTCGTTTCAGTTGCTTTGGGTTGCTTTACTTCATATGGTGTAAGACATATACACTCTATCTATCTTAGCGAGCTTGTGATATATTGTGCTACCTTTGTGCTATGCTCTGCTTAGATGTTAGTTATCATGCCTTTATCTCTAAAATATAGGGGGAGTGTTGATCCTAGTTTGTGTGCTATGCAGTCCAAAGCATCCATCTAGATTGCACACATCTAGGGGGAGCCCGTCTATATTCTAGAGAGGAGGGGTTTGCCTTTGCTCAATATTATCTCATCTATGTGCAAATCCCGTATTGTCATCAATCCACCAAAAAGGGGGAGATTGTAAGGGCATATTTATCCCTTAGGTGTTTTGGTGATTGATGACAATGCTTTTGCGGACTAATCGGGTGCCTTGAGTTTCTCAGACGCTTCATCACTAGGCATGAGACGATTCGGTGCCCCTCAAAGACTATTGAAGACGGCGTTGTTCTACGTTTCTTTTTGGTGGATTTGAGTTGTAGGAGAGCCGTACTATTAAGAGGGGGTCCGCGTCAGAAAGGTTCGGGTGGAATCATCACGTACACGTTTCTTTCATTGTCTCCTCCTTTCCCTTGCACTTTGGAGCATTCCCCGTCTATCCTCTATGTGAGTGTCTGGACTACTGTTGCTGAGCTTGCGGCAGTACTGCTCCCTGGAGCGGTAGTACCGCAGGCACTCGCGGTAGTACCGTGCCCATGCGCGGTAGTACCGCAGGAGCCCACGGTAGTACCACTCCCTCAGAGTCGTAGTATCGTGGCTCCTAGGCCAAGTACCGCTGCGTCGCGGTAGTAGGCGCGGATGTAATTTTTTACATCCGCGCCCACACGGTAGTACCGCACACCGAGGGCGGTAATACCGCGGGTGACCATGGTAGTACCGCTCCCACCGAGCTGTAGTACCGTGGTTCCCTGGCCTAGTGTCGTTGCTTCACGGTAGTAGGGGCGGATGTAATTTTTTACATCCGCACCCACACGGTAGTACCGCGCCTTGTGGACGGTAGTACCGTGACGGATATTTGCATCGTCTCTTTAACCGCGGAAGTAGGCACGGATGTAATTTTATTCATCTGTGTCGTTTCCAGACTTTGCCTTACCTGCCTCGCGGTAGTACCGCGCTCGCGGTAGTTCTGCCTATGGTATAGTCTCTGGAGCTGCCGCGGTAGTACCGTGGTCCCCCACGGTAGTACCGTGTGGCCTTGCGGTAGTACCGCGCCCCTGGAGCGGTAGTACCGCATGTCGCAGGCTGGTCTAAGTGGATAACGGTTGGATCTCTTCCTTGAATATAAAAGGGGCATCTCCTACCTCTAGTTGACCACCTCTTCCACCTCTAAGCTCCATTGTTGCTCCAAGCTCCATTTTCGCCCGATCTCTCTCCCTAGCCAATCAAACTTGTTGATTTGCTCAGGATTGGGTGACTAGGGCCCGATCTACACTTCCACCAAGAGATATTCGATTCCCCCCATTTATCCCTAGCGGATCTTGTTACTCTTGGGTGCTTGAGCACCCTAGACGGTTGAGGTCACCTCGAAGCCATACTCTATTGTGGTGAAGCTTCATGGTGTTGTTGGGAGCCTTCAATTGTTGTGGAGATTGCCCCAACCTTGTTTGTAAAGGTTTGGTCGCCGCCTTCAAGGGCACCAATAGTGGAATCACGGTATCTCACATTGTGTGAGGGCGTGAGGAGATTATGGTGGCCCTAGTGGCTTCTTGGGGAGCATTGTGCCTCCACACCGCTCTAACGGAGACGTACTTCCCTTTAAACGGAAGGAACTTCGGTAACACATCCTCGTCTCCAACGGCTCCACTCTTGGTTATTTCGTGCCTTTACTTTTGCAAGATTACTTGTGTTGTATCCATTACTTGCTTGTGTGCTAGTTGTCGTTGCATCATATAGGTTGTTCACATAGTTGCATATCTAGACAACCTATTTTGTTGCAAGGTTTAAATTGATAAAGAAAAGCTTAAAAATTGTTAGTTGCCTATCCCCCTCCTCTAGTCAACCATATCGATCCTTTCAACTTGATTCAAAAGACTTTACAACAAGAATTGCTCAAACTCTAAAAAAAAGAATTTTCGTTTAAAAAAAACATGATAATAGAGGAGTATTTTTAGAGAAACAGGATAGAAATGTAATCCTCATATCTGTTTTCCGGCCCATCTTTCCACCTCAGCATTAAACCCAAAACTCGTTCCCAAATGGCCGGGGCATGAAATTCATAGAGCATTCGTTTAATGTGCCTTTGCTCAAAAAAAAAGAACGTTTAGTGGACAATTATCGTCCGGCCCAGCACAGAACTTGTTCTCCCATTGTCATTAAGGCTTTGTAAGTGAACAAAGCAACATGGGGATGTAGCTCCGATGGTAGAGCGCTTGCTTAGCATGGGAGAGCTATGGGGATCGATACCCCTCTTCTCCAATTTTTTGTTTTTCCTTTCTTTGCAGATCCAAACAAAATACAGCCGGTTTGTTTTGTGCTGAGAGAGAGCATATACACAGTTTGTGCTGCGAACATACACAAGCAGTGCAATAATAATCGCAGGCTGTTACCATTCATGATTTTGTTGGAATATTCTTTGTAGAAAAGCAGACGGCTGAAAGGGGATGTAGCTCAGATGGTAGAGCGCTCGCTTAGCATGCGAGAGGTACGGGGACCGATACCCCACATCTCCAGCAATTTTTTGTAAACTAACTCAACTTTCAGATTTTTCAGGTAGCCACTGTGTGTTTGCTGTTGGCCGGTAGCACAAACAGCCGGTCTGTACTTCCGTCCAAACGCATTTTCCTTGCCGCTGTTGCTATCATCCAGAAGCTTAGCTAGCGGAAAGAGAGCAGGCAGGTGCGGGTTGTTCTGAATTTGCCGCTCCTTTTTACTTACATTATACAGTACCAATGAACGATCATCTGGCTCCCGTTATAAGCCACTCGCCTGTGCGCATCATCCTGCAACCCAGGTAAGGTATAGTGCACTGTGCACGCACAAACACAGCAATGCTAACGCTGGGCTAACGCTTCCGGCGTCGACTGACGTGGGCTCTTCTTCTCTGCATGCGTGCGTGACAGACGTTGCGCCGATAGAGCCTCTGCCCGCGAGGTCGCTGCAGTGCTTCGAGGACGGCCAGGTACCAAGTCTGCCTTTGATTCTTGAGCCGACGGTTGGTGGTGGGTCTTAGTTACCTTGGTCCTCTCCTGGTGGGCAGGTGTACGGGTGCTGCGAGGGCGCGCTCCGGCTGGACCCGTCGGGGGTGATGGGCGTGCCGCTGGGGGCGGTGGACTACTACTGCGGCGGGGCGTGCGTGGTGGAGACGGAGGACGTGCTCAACTGCGTGGCCAGCGCGCTGGACGGCTTCAGCTTCCACAACGGCGCCTCCGTGGAGGGCGCGCGCTACGCCCTCAGGAGGGGGTGCAGCCACACCATCAAGAGAGGGGACTTCAACGCTTTGGAGCCACCCATGAGCGACTACCCGGACATCTACGGTGACTACCGCGGCCATGCCTGCAGGGCTACGCCTCCTCGCAGCATCAACTTGCTCGCGTTTCTCGCTGGCGCCTGGCTGCTGCTCATTCAGGGTCGCTGATCGGTAGCTCACTTCTCAGCAGCTTCTTTTTGGCTCTAGCGTCACGAGCAGATGATGTCACTTTTTGGTAAAACGATCAATTCTAAGTTTCTAACACAACTTACGAAACCTTTAGTTACACAAACAATGCAGCAATCAGGCAAACAAATGTGTACAGATCTGTTTTGTGTTGTAAGCCTTTTAGGCTAACTGCTACTCTCCTTTCAAATGAAATATAAAGGGTTGCTTTTTCACGCCTTTATATTATATCAAGGGAAAAAGAATGCATAACTCTGGGACTAATATTTGCCATTCCATAAAAAAAAGTTATCAGTTCAAAAAGAAAAAGGAAAGGTACAATTCATGCTGGAAGAAATTAAAAATGAACCCCTCATGTCAACTTTTCATGCATCATCTTCAAGGCTTCAACGAGAATCTTAGATGAATAAGTTGCGACTTCGCTTTAAATTTCTTCCATCAAACAGATTTCCTGGAAACTACAAACTGGGACGCATCAGAGGTCCACTATCTTCACAAGCTTTGTATAGATAACACGGTTATCCCTCGCCGAATTGCTCTCAGCAAGCGCAGTCTCCACCAAGTCCTGCCGAGGGAAAACATGTCACTGTTGGATGCAAACTAAATGCCAGAAACACTAATGCATTGATACGATATCAAACCATACATAATTAAAACATTCAGAATTGAGAAGGATACAAAAAAAATCGATACAAAAGATAATTTCAACAAATAAAGACCATAGAAGGTAAGTAACAGGTTCAGATATCTAACCTTCACGTCCCTATTAGACAAGAACTTCCCCAGGTTGTGAATAATGCACCTTAGATCTTCTGCCTGCAGTTGTGAATACACATAATGCAACATAAGAACAATAGCCACAAAAATAGAGTGCAAGTAATAGCAGAGTCATTGCTTAAAGAAAAAGACATCATGGTTTCAAAATAAAGGCATTATTAGTATGTTACCTTGATATAGCCCACTCTGCTCTTGTCAAAGTAGCGAAAAGCCTACAAGATAAGGGGGGAAACTGCACACATTAGCGACATCTTATCATTTTATGGCAACTCTTAGTCTCTTGCAACAGAAAATTTACCTGCAACAGGTCCTTATCAATTACTTCATGTTTTGCTGAATCTCCTTTCGGTGATACAGCTGCCCTATCGCCAACTTCTACCAAACCTCCTTTCTCTGCTATAGTAGGCTTGACCTTCCTCGAAACAGGCTTTTCATCTGTACAGGCAACATTTTCTAATTCGATCTCCTTCCCTGCTTTCTGGTTCACTTTATCTTCTTTTGTTACTTCTTCTAATTTGACCTCTCTACTGTTCAAATTACCGTCCTGCAGCACGTACACAGGCAAACACAGATACACATAATTAATCTCCTGGCATAGATAAAACAATTACACTGTGAAACATGAGGGAACAGCAGGATGTTATAGGTGTACTTTCAAGAAGATTATAAACCAGCTTTCTTTTACATGAAATTTGAACTATCATTCAAGGACCAGTGTACAAAACCCACTGTAGAAAACAGCTCTCTTCTACATGAAATTTGAACTATCATCCAATGACCCTGTCAGGTGTAAAGGCCACTGCACAAAATTTTGTAAGCTCTGACAAGTATAGCTTGAGAGGTTAGCTTGAGCACTGAGACGACCAAGTTTCTGCATTAGTCCTGGATGAAACTGACAAAACATAATAGCAGAACCTGGTCTCATCCAAAACTATCAACTTCAGATATGGAAAGCTGATGTAGATTCCATATTATGGAAACAATTAATTAAGCACAAGTAAAAATTCCACAATAATATTAGCAGCCCGCAACAAACACCTCTATTGCTATGAAGAAAGGGAATTCCAAAAGAAACACAAGATAAATAAATGGCATGTCTGATTGTCAATCAAATATAACTAGTGTGCACAAAATTGTGTGCAAAACATACCTGTTGCTCAGCTGTATCACCATCCATGTCCTCATCGTCTTCATATATTTCTACTTCCTCGGGATCTTCTTCGTAGTCAGGATCTTCATCCTCCATCTTCTCTGCTGCTTCAGGTTCATCACGAGTAGCTGGTAAAGGTATCTGATCTATGCTCATCTTTTTCTTATCATCTTCCATTATTTTATCATTTTTTGGAGCACTGATATTATTAGGGGTACTTTCAATGTGAGCATCGTCAGTTGTCTTTGATCTCTTTTCTGATGATTTTGTGCCTTCCTTCATTAGATCATCCTCTCTTGTTCGCTTACGTCGGTTCTTCTTTGTAACGAAGTGCTTGTGTAGTTTCTGTGAAACAAGTAAACATCAAGCCCCATGTGGGCGGATATTAACACGTAAAAAGAACTCCTGAACACAAGAACTGCTACCCCTTTTATTATGAAGACAAGACGAAACAGGATTAGGCTCCTAATGTTCCAGAACAGAAAAGAAGGCCAAACAGGATTTTGTTTGGGAACAGGCAGAAAACTAACAGCCTACCGGACAATACAGACATGATATCTCGACTGCTAAGCGAACCACATCCTCATATAGGTATAACCTTAATGCCAAAGTTTTGACAAGGACCAGGAAACATGACTGAGTGTGATAACTTTTGCACTCACTGGTTCTATAATAGCTTTAACCCCCAAAAGCAAACTACAGCATTATTAATGTTGCTGGATTTTGTTAGTATTAAAATAGAAATTAGTGGCCAAAGCTGTGTTCTGGAGACTGCTGTTTGACAAAGCAAAAACCTTTAGAGCACTAGACAAACTAAGTAATAACCACATGAATTTGTCGACGTGAACTAGTGGAAAGCATACATGGCATACTCAGTGCAGAGTTTTCTCATTTTGGAATTCAAAATATGCACTAGATTACAAACAAAAAAGGGATTGACTGTGTCACAAAATTGATGACATGGGTAAATGATACTCCCTCCGTCCCATAAATGGTACTCCCTCCGTCCCATAAATGGTACTCCCTCCGTCCCATAATATAAGAGCGTTTTTGACACAAAGACCAGCTGCTATTATGCTTAAGCTAAAGGTGTCGGCAGAGCTAAAGAAACTTACCTCAAGAAAAGACAGGATAATGCAGCCCATTCTGAATTGAAGCATTTCACTGAACGATTCAGCAAACAGCGAAAGCTAAAAAAGGGAAACAAGAGCATATATTAATGTCAAAAGATAATAAAGTTTATTCTTCAGAGAGAATTAGAATCACATTTACAGTGGTAATTACATTAAAAAAAACACGTCCATTTTGTTATCAGGGAAAAAAACTATGGAAAATAGAATATATACCTCAAAAACAGATTCCTCTGTGTCATTGGTTGTATAGTCTAGTAGGCCATCCAATGAAAGGGATATTGGACGGAGCTGCAAAATTGTGGTTCAATAAATATTTTCGTGTAACTTTCCAAAAACTTTTACAAAACGCAACACTATAAATAAAAAGGAATTACAGAGCACATTACGCATACTTTAGACTCTTTACTCTTTTTTGTCTGCAGAATGAATCCTGGATGTTTAGGAGGTTCGTCAGATTTCTTCTTCTCTTTGGTGTCATTATTAAGTGACTTTTGCTTTGGATCCTTCTTCAGGTCATTTATCTTTTTTTCTTTACCATCCTTTGCCTTATCTTTCGTTCCATTCCCCCCCTCTTTATTCACATCTCCATTCACACCTTCCTGTTCACTAACCTTATCTCCATTTGATTTTTTATCCTCGGTACATAGATGTGCCTTATCTGCCTTTTCTTCTTTCTTCGGATTTGAAATCTTTTCAGCAGCAATGTTAGACCGTTCTGCCAGCTTAATCTGAGAATTTCCAGCATCAGTCAAGCTTTCATCATTCTTTTCTTGTTGAACTTCCCCTCCTTGTTTACTTGTTTCTGCAGGTACAGCAGGTGCAATCAACTTGGATCCTGAAGCAGGAACTTTTCTCTTAATAATCCTTCGAATTACTTTCTTCTTCCCAGTTTTATTGGTCTCAGGTTGCAGATTAATGCCAGTTCCATCCTCTTTTTTACTAACATCCTCAGTTGTTTGTTCAACCTGCTCTTCCACAGTTTTGTTTGTGGTTTCTGCCACCACAGCCTTGTCCACCTGAGATGATTTGTCAATTGAAGTTTCAGCAGTTGGCTTTTCACGAACAACTTTTCTGATAACCTTCTTTATTACTTTCCTTCGTGTGGGCTTTTTATCCTCAACTGCATGGTGAACGGAGGCATCGCCTGAGGTATTTCCTTGAATGTCCCCACCCTTCTTATTATGTTCCACAGCATTATCAAGTGGTTTCCCTTTATTCTCAACAAACTTTGCCTCCCCATCTTTGCCCTGCTCATCCATTTTAGTATCAACTTTCTCAATTTTGGTAACATCCTTGCAAATATCCCCCTCCCTCATATGACCATCATCTGCTCCTTCCTTCTGTTCCTTTGTATCACAAGGGGCCTAAAATATACGAATCGGGAAATAGAGCTATTAGTATTAAACACAGACTAAGATAAATTATTTTGCTACAATTGTCAACAATGGGAGGAGTATGACAAACTAACATTTTCACTCTTTATAGCCAGTTTCTCCCTGTCTACTTTTGAATTTCTGTATGTAATCCAGGTTTTCTTCCATAACTCTACTGAAGGTATGCATTCTGACAGGTTTGGCACAAACAGTACGGAAATCTCTTTATGACTAAAGAGTCCATCTTTGCCAATTCTGTTGTAATGGACCTGCAAATGGTTAAAAAACGTTATAGAAACAATAACAATTTCAGCAATGGTGTTTCATAAATGTGCAGTGACAAGTATGCTAAAACAAAACTGAATGTACTTCGTGATGGGAGCAAATGCTCATAACCAATCCCTCAGAAAGTACTTGTATCAGAGAAGTATGGTTCAAGATTTTATTATAACCTACCAGGTCCAAACTTTACCAAAAACAATGTTTGAAATAGTGGATATCATGTCTATCGCCTAAATGCTCCAGTGTACTGAGATCATATCAAACAATGTGTCTGGTACTATTTCCATGTATATTCCTATTTATTTATATAATTTCGAAGTTATAATGTAATCATTGTGATATCATAACATTTTATATAATTTTGAAGTTATATAATTTCCATGTATCAGAGAAGTATATTCCTATTTATTTATATAATCAGTTTGGTTTCATGCTTGGGAGGTCGACCATGGAAGCCATTATCTTGGTACGACAACTTATGGAGAGATACAGAGAGCAAAAGAAGGGCCTGCATATGGTGTTCATGACTTGGAGAAGGCATGCGATAAGATACGGCGGAATGTCATGTGGTGGGCCTTGGACAAACGATAACAATTTCAGCAACGGTGTTTCATAAATGTGCAAAGATAATGTTGTGACAAGTGTTCGAACAAGTGAGCTCTGGTGCATAGCGGACGGCTAAAGTGTGCTGATAATGTCAAGAGAGGTCGGGGTAGACCGAACTTCACATGGGAGGAGTCCGTAAAAAGAGATCTGGAGGACTGGAGTATCACCAACGAACTAGCCATGGACAGGGGTGCATGGAAGCTTGCTATCCATGTGCCAGAACCATGAGTTGGTTGCGAGATCTTATCGGTTTCGGCTCTAGCCTACCCCAAATTGTTTGGGACTAAAGGCTTTGTTGTTGTTGTTGTTGTTGTTGTTGTTGTTGTTGTTGTTGTTGCTGCTGCTGCTGCTGGAACAGACAGCTCACCAGGAAAATAAATAGGGGCTTCATTTACAATTAATGATTTCCATGACGCTGGAACAGGCAGGTCAAGGAACTGAGATGTCAACCGGGTCCTATTTAAACCCACTAATAATCTAACAGTTAAAAAAAATCCGGGGTAAATGAACTATGGAGCTAGCTAAAACTAACTAAACGGGACTTGCAGACGCCGGTTATTTGCCATTTACATCCCTAAACTGAGCCTGTCTCAGTTGGTGGGAGCTGTGGCCTGTGGATGTGCAATACCCACCACCACCACCCACATTCTACTTGTTTTCAACTCGATTTAGGTGCTTACTACTTTTTATGACTTCCTCCCAAGGAATTCTTGACAAAAACATCATAGTTTCGCAAACACTACTTTGGACAGCAGACTATATCTGAACTGGCAATGTGATTGAGAACTAGAACATAATGGGCATAAGATTGCCTTGCTAAGCGGCAAACATCCAATTAGTACATCATCTTAACAAAATTTCAATATGGTGGAAGCATAATGTTACATGCAAGTTCATCATAAGTGCTAAAAAATAAATTAACATGTACCTCGAGGAAATGATTCCAGTGTGTGCAATTAGATAGATCAATCTGAACCAGTTCTTTAGTGCATCTGTACAAGTAGGGTAAATTTTAGCACAACTGCCAGTTCACAAATGGATCAGTATGTTATATGATTACATACCTGATAGCAGTCCGCACCAAGCACGAAGAGTCAATCAATGGATCTCCACCATCTATTGCTGCACTCCAAGGACCTCCAATTGTAATAAGTGCATGATCCTTCTTAAATACAGCAAATTTCAAGACATTGTTCCAGTGCGCTAGTCGTTCCTCGGCACTTCTCAATGAACATATATCAGCGAAGGCACCGTTGCTCATACCACTCATCAAGAGAACCTGCACACGCTCATCAGAATAAGAATTGTTACAAAGATCAATTTGGCAATTCTTCGATATTTGAAAATACACAAACAGTACATCCCAAGATCTTGACACCCCAGCCCCCGCACGAGAATCTCGTGCTTTTTGATAAATATCAGATATGCATAATAACCAAACCATGTCATAAAGTAATCAAATGAGAATTCTGAGCAAAAAATGGGAAAGTAATTTTAATGGCATCAGACAATGCAGTACCACAACTTATGGACCGCATAGATTTGCATGCCACCACCCACCAGGGATTGTACACAGAGTCTGCAAACATGAGTATAACTCCAACCAGTGTGCCACATGATTCCTACACATATTGATGTAGTAATCGTCTACTTGTAGCTACTCTAGTTCAATCTAGTCCATACTTTAAAATAAAATATACAAAATTGTAGACACAAACCTTTACATTCCAAACAGTGTCTGGAGTGCCGGTGCTGTACGATTTCTCTGAAGATAAAACTGTTCTTTCGTCGGCCTTATCATCCACTTCATGGATGTCATGCTCCAAACTGTTTTACGGCAATAGCAACAATGTGGTACAATGATGCTATTGAAATGAAGAAAAATCACTTCGGCAAGCAAAGCATAATGTGTATCTAAAATAGAAAGCATACCTGACTGGTGTGCGCATTGAAAGATTAAGGTTTCCTTTTGGCCAGTTCAAGACAACCTATAAACAAATCGCTGATTAGGAAAAAATAATCATATGATTTCCCATTGAAAAGAAAATTTATTCATACAACAACAGACCTTAGAAACATCTGGAGAAATCACTAGTCTAGGATATCGCTTTGTCAAAGATAAGTAGTCCCTCTCAGCATCCACCAAGCGAAATGGAAAGACCTGCGAAAAAGAAACTGATTGTTAAATTCATAAAAGGAAGCAAACTAGAACTATAACATAAATGTACAAAAAGAAAAGCCATGATCAACTGCATAAACGGGGAGGCAAAAGGCGAAAAGGAGGCAAATGTGTTCATGATTGCACTATCATGGACACTGGAGCACAATCTCCAATTAAGGTGGGGGTGGCTTTCCAATTGGATAAGAAACATCTCATGATTTTTCATATCACTTGGAGGGAAGTGATATCTTGGTGCCAGATAAAGAGAAATAGCTACTAGAAATGCTGAAACATGGCTCAGTGAAGATGGATGAATAACCGGAACTGCAGACACAAACAGAACTAGATAGTTCCACATGTGTGTGCAGGGACAAAGGTGCTAAAACTAACTGGCTTCAGAAGGACAAGAATCAGGGGCTTTAAGACCGAGAGCACATTGAAGAGATTAGCCCCTAACATTATTATTTGATCTGAACAGCAACAATGTGACAAACTCAACTATCTGTTTACCTTGCAAATATATTCTCTCTTTAGTTGTTTAACAGGTGAACGAGGCCTTCAGGACAACAAATGAAAGAGTTAGTTATAAAGGCTGGCCGAAGACGAAGCAGCAACGGGTTGCATCCACAAAACTACAGAGGAAACATGGAGGTCCACCTATGCAGGACATCACGTCGAGGCGAAAGCCGCCGCAAAGGCTTCTCAGATCTAACAGAAGAAGAACGCCGCCTTTCACGAGGTGTCCTTGGAGGAGTGTGCTCCCGCCTTGGAATAGCCACATGCTTCCTATCCCGCTCCCTCCCATTCTCCCGGCGCTCGCGAAGACGTACTCTTTCTTGTTCGAGTCCCCTTTCCCTTTCACGCTCTCTTAGACGTTCGTGCTCCCGCTCCCTGTCTTGTTTTCTTTCCATTTCATGGTATCGTAGCTCTTGTTCGCGTTCCCATTCCCTTTCCTTCTCTCTTTCCCACAAAAGGCCCCTTCTATGCTCCTCATCTCTTAGATCCAGTTCACGGCGAAAAACAACCCTGTCTCTTGTTGGCTCATCAACCATGGGGATGCTTGGATGTACACGAGGTAAGATGCTATCTCGGTAATCAGACTCTGAAGATGCATGCAGCAAGTTCTTCCCTGAAGCATAGTCGTGTCCAGGGGGTAGGCCCATCACGTAACCACTGCCCGATGACCCTTGTCCATAGACAAGGCTGTCCATGTTTGTCCTCTGGGTCCCCCCCAAGATTGAAGCTTGTTGTTGGCCGCCATATGGAACAGATCCAAGAATTAACAAGCTGTGATGATCGGCTTCAACTCCTCCATATGCGCTAGCTTCCTGGGAACCTTGATGGACTGGACCGGCCCTTCCTGCAAAGTAATCGGCTTGTCTGCCAGAAATGCATACTTTTACTCAGTGCATGTGCTATGTTTTGTTGTGGTGACAAACACAAAGGTCACTAATTCGCTAGTGGTTTACTTTCCAAGGTAATCAACATTTTTTTACAGCTTACCAAAACCTAGTCATAGGGCAGAGATATCTGGATGAAGCAACTTTTCACTTATCTGAGGCACCTTTTTAAGTGGTTATAATCAGGACATAATTATAATACTGATAATACTAATAACAGTAACAATAGCAGAAATTATAATAATGTGAACCAAAAACCTGACAATCATCTGTATAACCTTACTGTGAGCTAACATACCGTATGTCAGAGACAGGCTGCAGTGGAGTTTTTAGGAGTTGCTGATGTCGCGTCGATGAAACCTAAAATTTCAACATCATTTAATAATGGGAATAAACTAATTATCAAAGACAGCAGATAAATGAGAACAGAACGATGCTTTCTGCAAAGAGGGGGGAGGGGGGGTAGGGGATTTTACCTGATCCACACGGTCGTGAATCTGAGATTATGTAAAAGCCAGTGAGTTATAATTATACATTGTCAAAATCTAAGAGGTGCTGAACAAAATAAAAACAAATGGGCAGTACAGAGAGAGAAAGAGAAACCTGATGGCTTCCAGGAATATGATCGGGGTATCTTCTATCCAAATCATTGAAGCCATCTCTCCTGCCAATATTAGCTGACTGTTCACCGTACATCCTTCTCTCCAATTCATAATTCATACTGTACTGCTCTAGCTTTGGCACATATGCACGAGAAGCTAGATAGTCATCATTTGGCCTTCCCAGACTGGACCCTACAGCTCCAGATGAGAACTTTGATGACTCAGAGAGTGATGTTTGATGAGCTTGCAGGTTGGGAAGACCAGAAGAACTTGGACCTTTGCCAGCAAGTCCACCAACCTGTTAAATATATTAGGCGGAATTTTCAATTGGCATATTATGTAACAAGATCATGTAACAATAGTAGTTTCTCCCTTGTGCAATTCTAGTTTGGGGGCGAATAAAACTTCACCTATATTTTGAAAAGCTTGATCAAAGCATCAATTATGCGATGGAAAAGGAAAAACTTCTTCAAACATCTTTGTGATGCAAAACATGTAATTAATTGAGATGAAGCCTAACTCCAAAAATGGCAAACTAAATTCTGGTCATCCTTTACTATACGTGGACTGACTTGGTGAGGAAAAGCATAAATGATTTCAAGGTTGTAGACCCCAATCTCCTGAGTCCTGTTCACCACCCAAAAGACCAGAAAAGCTCATGCATAACCAGATATATGTGGTGAACACTGAACAGAAGTGGGAACAGGGGAGGAGAGAGATCTTAAAGAGGGTAGACTTCTGATTCTCTATAGTCTTCATATAGATATATATTGATTGCTGTGGTTGATAGAGAAAGAAGTTGCACATGGAGAATAACGTCGTGGTTTCAGATATCACATGATCATAAGAAGCTATGGTAAAACAGTTGTGGGGGCTATAACTTCTATCTGTACCTAAGCAAAATAATGGCAACATTTGTGTCATTCTACCCAAACTAACCCAAGTCAGCTGTAAGATCAAGATCTTGGATTTCACCCAGCTTCAGAACTGGAATTGTTGGGAAGCTCAATGATCCATAGGGGACCCATGTTACCAGTTTGGGATAGCTTAAGGCCCTTAACTCCTTCAGCTAAAGCTTGTGTTCTCCCAAAAGGCATGAAAATGTAGCTGTAAAATGATGCAAGTTCATTGCTAGAATGTTAGGAAAGGTGGCAAGGGACCCAAGCTACCAGTTTGGGATAGCTTAAGGCCCTTAACTCCTTCAGCTAAAGCTTGTGCTCTCCCAAAAGGCATGAAAATGTAGCTGTAAAATGATGCAAGTTCATTGCTAGAACGTTAGGAAAAGTGGCAAGGGGATACTGTGCAAGAGCTGTTGCTTTGCAACTTATATAAAATTCTACACCTTCCATTAAATAAAAGGTGATGACGGGATTTATCTTTCAGACTGAGGAAGATCAATAGCTCATGTAGGCAGATTTTAGGAGCCAAATTTTTCAAAGTTTGACTCTATCCTTGTTCAAAAGGGAAGTTTTTACGGGACCAGAGGGAGTACAAGATCAAGCTTTATATTGCTCAGATCATCCCATAGAGCTGTTTTAAATTTCTGGATTGTACCGCAAATTCTCAACTAATAACTCTAATAGAAAGCGAGTATTTAGACCTTGTTTCCAACGCAGGCATGTATTTCACATTTTGCCCAAAGTTCCGACTATTCTTTTGGTGGGTGACACTTGAGGGACCAGGTAAACTTTGAAATACATAAAATTATTTCTATTTATGCATGGATTATTTCTGTGCATAAGACAAAGAGTACGGAAGGGATATAAATGGACCTTTTCGGGTTCAGGAACCGGGCTTATTCTTCAAATAAACCCATTTGTTTTATTTATAGACCAATAATGCCGGCCAGTAGCTTTAACACTGGTCAAACCTAGGATTCGCTTATCACCGATGTCCATGTGGACCTATTATAATTCCCTAAAGCATGTACTGGGTAATATTTAGATACAATTGGATTGATATCTAGTAACCTTGATTATTTGCCTTCACTCAAAGAGATGCCTTTGGTATATATGAGTACAATACAAACCGACAAACGACAACTCACACAATTCAGTTACATGTGTAACATCAATGAGCAATAAGCAACATTAGGAAACAAAATTAATTGCATCCAGAATTCAAATTGAAAAGGAGCAGAAATTAACCTTCTGCGCGCCATAAACCGCAGCGTAAGGCCCTCCATACTGCCCCACAGCACCCTGTGCCGCATTGCCGCCAAACTGAGGGCCATCTGTGCCACCAGCTGCTGCAGCAGATGTCACATACCCGCCGCTACCAGGCTGCGAAAACCCAACCAAAAGGGCGCAAGTGTTTAGGCACATATATCAGAACCTTGCACCATTAGATAGGGTTGCCAATCAAAGCATCAGATGAGTTTCACAGAGCGCCTTACAATTTTGCCGTACGGTTGCTGCGCGCCATACTGCGGCGGCTGGCCGTAGGGATTGGGCCCTTTCTTCGGAAACATTGCGGATGCGACCGCCTCAGATCCTGTGGATCACAAGACCCGGCCGAAACACCGCGCAGAAGCAAGCAAGCACAGACGGCCGGCACAGCTGCACACAGGCTTCTGCAGGGAAAGTAAATCCTGTAAATTACATCTGCGGCGGCAAAAACGTCAGCAATCAATCCTAGATAACCACGCACGCGGGCATGACCGGGATGGACCAGGCGATTTGGTTGCTGGCAGTGGCAAATACAGAAAAGGTGAAACCCATGGACTTCTAGGGCTTACCTGTGGAGGGTGGACGAGGAGGCTATGCGCTGGGACGCTGAGCCAGTCTTGGAAAGCGATTGGGCTCGGCAGGAGACGACGTCGGCAGCGGCGCCGCGGGATCGGCGGCGGCGGAGGACGAAGAGAAGGGGTTGGGAAACTGGGGTTCAGGCTAATTGTATCGGTCTGAACGAAGGATGTGCAAGCGGCAGCATGACTGCCTCAATAGAACGTCGGATGCCAAAGATTCTGTTCTGTTGGGCCGAGTTGAGTGCCCGATGATAGTTTGGGCTGGACATTGTTTTCTTTTTGGTCGCGCTAACTATCACACGTGTGGCAGGAAAGAAGACGCACCACATGTCTCTAATGTAAATAGATTGTCACGTCATCGCACGCATGCATGCAGGAATCTTTTTGGATTTTCAGTTTTTTAAATGTTTTATCTCTTAAACGAAAAATCCGATTGAAAATCCGTTTTCATCATTAAATCTCTCGCAATGAGATCTTCGAAACTAGATCTCATGTTGATATGTTTTGATGAATTTTTTTTTAGATTAAAAGTTGTCATGTCTATTGCATATGAATTGCCATGATGTTTACACTGAAGTTGTCATGATATGTTTCAGCTATTTTCTTCTACATTTAAAAGTAAATTTTAACATTTATAAAATGGGGAATTAAGAAACTAGACTTGCCATGAACCATAAACTAAAATTGCCATGATACATGCATGTAAAATTGCCATGGTTCATACAAAAAATAATTTTCATGGTCAAAGTACTGGAGTTGCCATCATCAAAATACTAAAATTGGCATGATCTACAAACTAAAATTGCCACATGGCAACTTTAGTTTAAGCCCTATGGCAATTGCAGTGTAAACATCGTGGCAACTTCTGGCAAAAAAAGAATTCGTCGAAACATATCAACATGGGGTCTAGTTTTGAAGATCTCGTCGAGACGGATTTAATGGTGAAAACGGATTTTTAGTTCGTTTTTTTATTTAGAAGATACAACATTTTTAAGCCGAAAACCAAAAAAAAATCTGCTGATGTCATCTATTCATACGTGGCAAAATGAGTGGTGATGGAGGCGTGTGGGCGATGTGCAAACGCCCACACGTGTGGGCGTTAACATTTCCGTTTCTTTTAGGGGTGGGCTGGATATCGGATGAGACAGACTGTGGGAATCCTCTCCCTTTACAAATTGGCCCATCAGAGTATTAGCAACGGCCTTGCGGCCTACTAATCGAGCTTAATTCTATTTGGCGCTGCAGGCGTCCGTTAATGTTTATTTTGCAAATGGACGCATGCACCCCTGCTGGTTCGGCCCATCTCCACTTTTTCCAAAGCAAAAAAGGCGACAACGCGAGGGATCAATAGAACGTCGGATGCCAAAGATTCTATTCTGTTGGGCCGAGTTGAGTGCCCGATGATAGTTTGGGCTGGACATTGTTTTTTTATAGGTGGGCTGGATATTGGATGAGACTGTGGGAATCATCTTCCTTTACAAATTGGCCCATCGGAGTATTAGCAACGGCCTTGCGGCCTACTAATCGAGGTGAATTCTATTTGGCGCTGCAGACGCCCGTTAATGGTTATTTTGCAAATGGACGCATGTGCCCCTGCTGGTTCGGCCCATCTTCGCTTTTTCCAAAGCAAAAAAGGCGACAACACGAGGGATTGATACGTCCATTTTGCATCATGCTTTTGTATCAATATTTATTATATTATGGGCTGTTATTACACGTTATGTCACAATACTTATGCATTTTCTCTCTTATTTTATAAGGTTTACATGAAGAGGGAGAATGCTGACAGCTGGGATTCTGGACTAGAAAAATAGCAAATATTAGAGATCTATTCTGCACAACTCCAAAAATCCTGAAACTCCACGAAAATCAGTTTTGAAATAGATTAAAAATATTGGGCGAAGAAAGCACCAGAGAGGGGCCACCAGCCAGCCATGAGGGTGGAGGGCGCGCCCTACCCCCCTGGGCGCGCCCCCTGCCTCGTGGGCCACCTAGCAGGCCCCCGACGTCCATCTTCTGCTATATGGTGTCTTTTGCCTTGAAAAAAAATAGAAGGAAGCTTTCGGGACGAAGCGTCGCCATCTCGAGGTGGAACTTGGGCAGGACCAATCTAGGGCTCCGACGGAGCTATTCTACTAGAGAAACATCCCTCCGAGAGGGGGAAATCACCGCCATCGTCATCACCATCAACCCTCTTATCGAGAGGGGGGTCAATCTCCATCAACATATTCATCAGGACCATCTCCTCTCAAATCCTAGTTCATCTCTTGTATCCGATCTTTATCTCAAAACGTCGGATTGGTACCTGTGGGTTGCTAGTAGTGTTGATTACTCCTTGTAGTTGATGCTAGTTGGTTTATTCAGTGGAAGATCATATGTTCAGATCCTTAATGCTATACAATACCCCTCTGGTTATGAACATGAATATGATTTATGAGTAGTTACGTTTGTTCCTGAGGACATCGGAGAAGTCTTGTTATAAGTAATCATGTGAATTTGGTATTCATTCGATATTTTGATGAGATGTATTTTGTCTTTGTTCTAGTGATGTTATGTGAACGTTGACTACATGACACTTCACCATGATTTGGGCCTAGGGGAAGGCATTGGGAAGTAATAAGTAGATGATGGGTTGCTAGAGTGACAGAAACTTAAACCCTAGTTTATGCATTGCTTTGTAAGGGGCTGATTTGGATCCATATGTTTCATGATATGGTTAGGTTTACCTTAATTCTTCTTTCATAGTTGCAGATGCTTGCGAGAAGGGTTAATCATAAGTGGGATGCTTGTCCAAGGAATGGCAGTACCCAAGCATCGGTCCACCCACATATCAAATTATCAAAGTAACGAACACGAATCATATGAGCATGATGAAACTAGCTTGACAATAATTCTCATGTATCCTTGGGAGCGCTTTGCTTTATATAAGAGTTTGTCTAGACTTTTCCTTTGCTACAAAAAAGATTGGGCTACCTTGCTGCACCTTGTTTACTTTTGTTACTTGTTACCCGTTACGAATTACCTTATCACGAAACTATTTGTTACTGATAATTTCAGTGCTTGCAGAGAATACCTTACTGAAAACCGCTTGCCATTTCCTTCTGCTCCTCGCTGGGTTCGACACTCTTACTTATCAAAAGTACTACGCTAGATCCCGTATACTTATGGGTCATCAGGGTCAATAGAACACCGGATGCCAAACATTATATTCTGTTGCACCGAGTTGAGTGCCCGATGATAGTTTGGGCTGGACATTGTTTTTTAGGGGTGGCCTGGACATTGAATGAGACTGTGGGAATCCTCTCCCTTTACAAATTGGCCCATCAAAGTATTAGCAACGGCTTTGCGGCCTACTAATTGAGGCAAATCGTATTTGACGCTCTAGGCGCCCGTTAATGTCTATTTTGCAAACGAGCGCCTTCGCCCTACTGGTTCGGCCCATCTCCCATTTTTTCAAAGCAAAAAAGGCGACAACACGAGGGATCAAACCTGAGATCTCACATTGAGGCACGTTGCGTTAGCCATCACACCATCTTACATGATCTTTCAGTGTACATCTTTTTCTCTCTTTACATATCTTTGCTTTTCTTTTTTCTTTTTTTCTTTTTTCCTTTTTTGTTTATGTTTTCTCTTTTTTCTTTTTTTCTTCATCTTCGTCGTTCGATGTTTTTTGTTTCAAATTCGTGACCTTTTTTGTTCAAATTCGACGATTTTTTTTCAAGTTTGATGAACTTTTTTCAAACTCAATGAACTTTTTTGAATCCATTAACTTTGTTTCATTTTTTATGAATGTTTTTCAAATTTGATGAATTTTTAAATTCAATGAACTTTTTTTGGATGCAATGAACTGTTTTTCAAATTATATGAACTATTTTCAAATTTGATGAACTTTTTTTAAATTTATTATATTTTTTTTCTAAATTGATGAACTTTGTTTCCAATTTCGATAGACTTTATTCAAATCAATGTTTTTCTCCAAAAGCGTTGATCTTTTTTTCAAAATCGATGAATTTGTTTTTCATATTTGATGAACTTTTTAAAAAAAATTAATGAACTTTTTTTTTAAATCCGCTAAACTTTTCAAAATTGTTGAACTGTTTTCTAGATTCAATGAACTTTTTCTAATTATGATGAACCTTTCTCAAATTCGATGAATTTTTCTCAGATTCAATCAACTTTTTCCAATTATGATGAACTTTTCTCAAATTCGATGAACTTTTTTAAAAAGCACCAATGTTTTTTTTCAAATTTGAAAAAATGTGTATGTTTGAAATAAAAAGAAGTTTCTTTGATATTTTTAGGAACTGCACGCATTTAGCAAAGAAAAGGAAAGTAAAATGGTGAACAAACCCGTTACGGAAAAGGAGAAAAAGGAAAAAAATGGTTTGGGAAGCTTGCCACACCAGGGCTTTGCGAGCTGGGGAAAAATAAAAGAATGCAAATGATTTTTCTAACCATAGAACGTTTGATGGCGTAGTGGTTGGTGCAATATTTGTCTACTTCAATTCAATAGATCTCCCCTATACCTAAAAAGTATTAGCAGTGACACACATATATTATATTCTTTTAGTCTAGTGACACTTAGCATCAGTGTTATGAATGCTCAATTTTACTATTCGCGCATTGCTGCGGGAATCGACTGCAATATATCTGAGTGATTTGGTTGTATGAAGCTTCCGCCGTTGAATTAGTAATATATGAACTAAAGATAAATATACATATTA